AGGTGGAGCCCGGCGGCTGTGGCAAAGGAGGGAGAAGCGCAGGCCGGGTGGGCCGGGGGCACTGTTAGCAGAGGCGCAGAGAGGGCGGGAGGGGCGAGCCCGGCTGCCAGGGACTCGCTGTTTTACCTAAAATTGTGTGAACGTTTCAACTTTAAGGCTTTTTAGCTTTTTAATTACAAATAATACATTTAAAATACATTCTTTTAAAAATGCATATAACTAGATACAAAGAAAAATGGATACATTTTAGAATCTGAAATATAACACAAGGGTCTATTTGGAAAATATTTTATTATGGGATTTCTATAGTTTCCAGAAAAAAATTAGAATATCTGAAAATATTTTAAAAATTAAAGATTTTAAAATACAAAATCAAGGCATTCTTGATTTTTCTTGTTTTTAGTTTTTAAAATTTTTAATAGTCAAAAGATTTTATTTGACTCATTTCTACAAGATGATTTTTTTAACTTTGTAGAATATATTTATATGGAAAAAAGCAGTAAATACTGTCTGAATCTGCTTTGTATTTTTTGTATTGAACGTGTTATACAGCACATAACTTTCCTCTACAATGATTTTAAATAAAATGATATTTTTGAAAGATATAAATTCATCCTTGAATTCAAATGCTGCGTAAGTAGAACCTGCGTTTACGTGACAGCGAGGTCAAGCTGCCTTTTCTTCGTCTTACCTCTATTACTTCTCCTCTGGGATGTTGTATGTACTATGCCGTTGGCTGTTCAGTTAGACACACACCTTAGAGAAAAAAACATAGTATTTCGTTATTCTTCTTTCCAAAGAGAAAGAGCTGTTAGACACGGAGGAGCGACGAGGCAGGTCCCTGCTGGAAACGCAGACGTCAGTCTCAGTGTCCCACACGCTGACCGCAGAGCCCTGGAGACTAGTGATCTTGGTTTCAGGAGGAACAGCTACTTCCTTCTGCCAGAAATGCATTTATGTGTGTGTGTGCGTGTGTGCACGCATGTGTGCATTTTTAGAACTTCCTCCTTTTTAAAATGTCCCCCTTTGCCCTGCAGGCCCGCATTTCGCGGAGTACCTGCACTGGGATGTCACAGACAAGTGTGAAGTTCGGCTTGTCTGCAAGGTGAGGCCCGGGTCCCCAGCAGCCAGCAGTGGGCGTCTCGCTCCCGGGACGGGTGAGGCGGTCCCGGCAGACTCGGGGGTGAGGGTGGGGGGCGGGGCGGGGGGCCGTTAGTACCTAGACTTCAGGTCTTGTCGGCCCTTCCTGAACAGACCATGGGCCTGCAGGAGGACTCGGGCAGGCAGTTGATAGAGTGAGTTTATGAGAAAGCGTGCTGCGGTGACATTTATCTGGTAATTTCCTTGCGGCTCATCTGATTTCTCTAGGAAATAAAAGGTGCGGTAGGGGAATCAGGTGCTCCCTGAGTTTTTGTTTGCACAAGTCAGCAGTGAAGTAAGCCTGAATTACTGGGAAGTATAAAGTCGTGTTTTTGGAGGACCAAGCCTGAGTTTATGGGCCCCTGCGATGTGACGTCGCCAGAGGCTGTGAGGGAGGGGGTCATACTGCTTGTGGCCCAGGGGCAGGAGAGAAAGGAGGCAGGGGGCTCCGGGGAGCGACGGGCCTGCGCTGAGTGCCAGTGGGGGGGGGGGACTGGGAGGACGCCGGCCATGAGGGGAGACTGCCGCCGGAGAGCTCTGTTCTGAGTCTACATGGGGTGTAAACTAGAACAGTCAGTCACACAGTCCGCTGTGGTCACTACGTTCTGCTCATTCAGAACCGAGTTCTTTCTCGTCCGTAGGACGTGCATGTCAGAGCAGGTGACTTGAAACGTTTCCTCGCCTTTGGAATTGTGCACAGCTTTGTTTCGAGGTCAGGCTCCTGGCAGAGACTGAATTTCGAGAAACTTTAGCAGAAGGGAAGCCCTCGTGCCCACACTGGGCTTACTTTGTGTTAAAGTTCCTTCCCCCTGTGTTGACATATCGAGTGTCATGTTGCCCAAAAAAAAGCAGTCACTAAACAGTGTTATGGACCTAGGATAATATTTTATGTTGATTATAAATTTAAAATACACTGATTACAGCTTGTTTTATTACTGACATCTCATAGAAACCCAAGGAACCTTAGTTTGACGTCCTGGGTTAGAACGAAGAGGAATTGCCTGTCCTTCTGCGTGGACCTGTGAGGGCTTAACTGTTTCGGAAGCTGGAGTTTAGAGATGCGTGTGCCACTGTTAGGACCGACAGCTTCTCCATGAGCTTCCATCTGAGACTGTCGATAATAAAAATTGACTTTTTTAGGTCCGTGATTTAAAAGCAGAATAGACTTTTTTCTCATGAGCCACAGCGATTCACACACTGAGATTCCCGTCTTGTAGGTGGCAAACACCAAGAAGGAAACCGTTTTCAAATGGCTGAAGGATGATGTTCTGTACGAGACGGACAAGGCGCCCGATCTGGAGAAGGGAGTCTGTGAGCTGCTCATACCAAAGGTACCGTGTGCTCAGGAGACAGACAGAACCAGGCGAGAAAGGCCTTTCTGCGTTATCTCCCGATCTGCGTCCTGAATTTCCATGGTTTGCAAAGAACCTATGTTAACGTGTATATTGGATATCGCGGCATCGTTACCTACATGTGGTGTGTGTTTTGTTTGCAGCTGTCAAAGAAGGACCATGGTGAATATAAGGCGACCTTGAAGGACGAGAGAGGTCAAGACGTGTCTGTCCTTGAGGTGGCTGGCAAAGGTAGACTAAACCTTCCTCTTTCTACTGAAGGGAGCCCCGCCCCGCCCGCAGGGGGAGCCGAGTCCCGAAGGCGCAGTGTGTGTTTCTGTGGCTGCGGCACACACTGCGTCTTCAGCAGGGACACAGTACAAGATAGATTTGTTCTTGAGTCGCATTCAGAGCTGTTGCAGGGTTTTAGGAGAAGGTGCGACATTGCTCTGGGCTTGTACGAAGTGCCACCTTAGCCTTAGGACCCAAGTTCGATGCCATTGGGAACGTAGTTAAAACGGTCCAGACGGTGGTGGAGCAGTTCAATTAAACGTATGGCTGGATTTACGTTGAGTCAAGTGTTCTTGTTCCTCATTCAAAAACGGACCAGGTTAGGAGGATTTATCGCCACACACGAGCCTTTCCTGGCTCCCTGTTGCCCTGTTAGCATTTCATTTTTCAAATGAACATCCTGATTTCCTGTATCAATTTAATTACACGTGAATGTGCTGCTGATAGAATTACCCACCGTAATGGTGCATTTCCTTCCTCCTTTCAGTGTACGAGGATATGATCTTGGCAATGAGCAGAGTCTGTGGTAAGTACGTGCCTTCTAATTTGCAAGTCATTTTGGGTGCTAAAAATCACTGTTTCCTGAGAAAGGCATTTTCCACAGCTGATGGGGCCCGGTGATTGCCTGTAGCAGTTATCCGCCTGCCTCAGTGATGCTTCTTCAGGGTGATTTTCAGCCTTATACGTAGAACACGTTTTTTCTTTTAAAAAAAAGGACAAAACAGGCTCAGTCCGGGCTGCCTGATTAGCCACTTGTTGCAATTCGCCGCGGGTCAGTGGGGGCGGCGCTCTGTGCCTAATTGCTGCCAGCGTCTTCACTGCAAATGCTGGGCAGCAGCAATGAATTTTTAAGCCTCTGGTTTTGCGTCTGGTTTAATGTGCACGAAACCAGTTTTCAGCTTTGCAAATGCCTTCTTCCTCTCTGTCTGCCCTTCCGCGGAACCTGTGAGAACAGAGGTTGTGGTTACCCATTTGACAATCGTAGCTTCCATCTGTACAGGGCTCGATGCTGAGACCGATGAAACCTCACGACCGTGGGCTTTCCAAAGTCGCCCAGTTTACACCTCCAGCAAAGTCCCAAGGCCGACAGCAGCTGGGTGGCTGCGCCCTGCGTGCTCCGCCAGCCGCAGTCGGGACTCCAGCTGGGAGCTAGTGTCCCTCCCAGGCCCGAGCTCCGCTGCCGTCTCTCAGGGTTCTTCTGGCCCCCTCTGGGAACTTCTCCGTGTGTGTCTGCAGTGCTTTCTCGAAGCAGCTCTGCAGGGTGCGGTTGCTCCCTTCTGCTTTTGCTCGTCACACAGACGGTCCACGTGGCCTCTCGAAAAGTGAACATGCTCAGGAAAGGGCCCATTTCCTCCGGTTCCCAGGGTCTTGGGTCGGAGATGCCGGTGCCTGGAAGGACCACGTGGGCTTCCCTGAGAGTTCTGGGGGCGGAGAGAAGGCGCGGGAGGTCCGGCAGCACCGGGGTCAGGCTCTGGTCCCCGAGGCACCAGGCCTGGTGCTGCTGGACGCTGCGTTCCGTCCCGTGTGCGACGTCGGGACGGGGAGGAGCGAGTGTCGCTGGATCTGCGACGTGTGTGTAAATACAGAGCGTCACAGGCAGGACTGTTCTCAGTTCGATTTCTGTTTCTTTACATTAGAGTCATAATTGCTTCTCTTTTCACGTACTCTGTGATAACTGGGTTTTATACAGATTTTATACCTACTGTTTCTAACCACTGCCTGGCTTGTCACGGACTCTCTGTGCCGTGGGTTAGACCCTCCTCTGCAGGGACACTGCCACGTTCCCGTCACTACAATTAACTATACAGTCATGCACACCTTTGGGCAAAGAGAGGCTTTTGTCAATATTTAGGAGCATTTGCTTTGGGTGAATTCTTGGAAATACAGTGACTGCATAGAGTCCTGTGTGACTCTGAGGTTCATATCAAATCTGCAGTTGCTTAGCAAACCCAAGAAGTGGCATTTTGAAAATTCTTTCCCCATCACACCCTCATCCGCAGTTTGAATTCATATTATTTTCTTTTATTTTGCAAATGCTGCAAGTATTACTTTCTAGCTGATGGAAGACCGTGAGTCTACGGACTTCCTAAAGTTACGTGTCTCATAGCAGCCTCTGCTCCAAGCTCGCTATCGTCCGGGGGAGAGGCTGACCTTCTGGGCCCCTGATCGCCCCCCACCCCCCGCCGCTGACCCACCCACCCCAGGGCCATCGGGCCCAGTCCCACTTCGTAGAATTTTCTTACTGCCCGCGGTCTCTGCTGCCCTCTTAGCCAGTTTCGCTCACCTCAAAGGCAGACCCCTGGCTGCCGTGTCCTTGGCTCCGCCTGTGTCACTTCCGCTGACTCGTCACCTCCCTTTAGGCGCTGTTCTGCAGCAGCCAAGTCCCAGGTCGTTCACCTGGCAGATCGCGCAGCACGTACCCGGCACAGTGCTCTTTGCACGACATTTCCTCCTCTTCCTCAGCTGCCAAGGCCAGATGTCGAGTCTTTAACGTCTGTGTCCCAGATGGGGTCTCCCAGCAAAGAGGTTTTCAGACGATTCCGGTGTGGCAAATGCGTATTTGATGAAGGACGATGACCTGGCAAACTGCAGGACTCTGTGGCTGGCAGATGCTAGGCTGTCAGCGAGCGGGCACATTTCCCCCCAGACATGGCGGGCACCTCTGGGGGCCGCGCCTGTCCGCTGGACACAGCGCGGCTTCCCCCGACCAGAGTGTGCTCTGTCTCCTGCAGGAACGTCGGCGTCTCCCCTGAAGGTACTCTGCACCCCGGAAGGAATCAAACTTCAGTGTTTCATGAAATATTTCATGGAAGATATGAAAGTGAACTGGTATCACAAGTAAGTACCCGCGTGCGGGGCCGGGGCCGGCTCACAGCTGGGACCTCGAGCTCGGGGCTGGGTCCTCTCCAGACTTTGCTGTTTAGAGAAAGGATGCAGCCTTTGGCTCGGGGCGGGGGCCGTCGCCGGAAAGTGGGGGGAAAGAGAGAGAAAGAAATGCCCGGAGGTGCCAGAGGCAGAGGTCCTCAAAACTTGGGGGAGTTGCTGGTGACACACGACTTGTCTGGAATCTGGCCGAGCTAGTGGGGAAACAGCATTTGGAAGCCACACCCTCAATTTCCAGTCTATTTGTTTCCCACCAGATGGACTGAAAAGGCCCCCAAAGGCCTGGCAGCCCCCACCCCCGCAGGGTCCACGCTGTGCCTGCAGGCGTTATTTCCTCTAATTAGCATCTCAAAAGGCAAACTGCCTTTAGGATGCTCTTCCTTGTAGAGCCACCCTTTTGTTTAGGTGAATCTATCCGTGAGTGAACCCAAGTGCTAACCGGGTAAGCGCCCTTGGGAGTCTTTCCTCCTGTTTGGACTTTGACAGGCCGTGCTTTTGTCTCAGACGCTGCACTCGGGATCCTCAGACGAGAAGCTGCAGCGGCGTCTCGGTGCGCCGCGTTTGGTGCCTGCGTTGCTGCGGGCTGGTGGGGGCGGCCGCGGCAGGGGGGCCACTGGAGCTCCCACCCGAGGGGCTGGTCGGGAAGGGCCTTAGCGGCAGTGTTTTCCCTAGGATTCCAGTCACAGGGGCTGTGGAGACTGAAATCTCCAGTGTGTTTCTGTGATGCAGTTGTTTATAAGGATTTGTGTTTTAGGCCGACGGGTTGATCTGTTTCTAGCTGAATCGAGCCTCGCCCCGGAAAAGGAGAATCCATCGCTCCCTGCCCTGTGCGTCTCTGTCGTCTGCGGCGCGTTGTGTTGCAGAAGGTTGTGTGTAGTTGTGACGCGCGTCCTGTCTTCCCCTGAAGACCCGTCCATCCGCCGGGGAGCCGGCTCCTTCCCCGGCCTTGCCTCCCCGGGAGCAGCTCGCTCTGTGCTGGGCGCAGACACAGGCCACACCCCCGTGAGCACAGGGTGGGGCACGCGGGCAGACGCACGTGGGGGCGGTTAGTGTGTGGTAAACACAGCACACAAGACTTCGCTTACCCTCACAAAAGCCCCGCGAGCCGGGTACCAACACCCACGTTTTACAGACGTGGAAACTGAGGTTTAGCAAGAAATCATCTTGCTCAAAGTCACACGACTAGTAAGCGACAGTGCTGGGAAACAGCTACACGGCGGAGCAGGGTCCCAGGCAGGGGCCGCGAGGTGCCGGATGCGCTGCGGGGAGTCCTCTGCCGGACCCGCCCGGCCGAGCACCGAGCGCCCGCCTCCCAGAGCTGCTGCAGGAGAGAGACGGACCCACGTGCAGGCTCCTGTCTGGCCGAAGTCCTGGGCTTCAAGTGCCCGTGACTCGAACTTCCGCAAATCCTCCTCCGCTCCCGCTAAACCCAAGGGGCTTTCGGAAGTAACTCACGTTCACTCGATGCCGTGAAGGTGTGAACTCACTGTCCCTGGACGCCCCGCACAGCTGGCGCAGGGCTCACGCTTTCTGAGGAGGCAGGAATGGTAGCTGGTGCTCAAACTTTACGTTGAGTTTATAAATTGTGGTGAAATACACAAAACGTACAATTTCCCATTTTAACCACCGCTGGGCGAGCAGCTCGGGGGCACTCATGTTGCCGCGCCACCACCACTGGTCTGCACAGCTTGCCTTCCGCACCCGCCACCCACAACCCCCGCCCCCCCGGCTCCCCCCTGCCCGGGCCCCCAACGATCTGCAGGTGGAGTCACACCCTAGTTGTCCTTTTGTGACTGACACTCAGCACGATGTCCTCCAGGCCCATCTAGGTTGTAGCAGGTGTCAGAGTCTCCTCCCTTTTTTAAGGCTCAATATTACTCCATTGTGCGGATGGACCACAGTTTGTCCGTCACCTCTAGATGGACACTGGGGTTATTTCCACCTTTTGGCTGTTGTGGGGAACAATGCTATGGACACGGATGTACAAATGTTTGTTCGAGTCCCTGCTTTCAGTTCTTTTGGGTATCTGTCCAGACGTGCAATCACGGGGTCATACGGTGATTCTATTTTTAAGTTTTGAGCAGAAAAGTGCCATGCTGCATAGAGTATCTGATCGTCTGTGCTGTGTGGGCAACAGGCAGATGTTAAACAACAATGTGTCTTTTAAAACTAACTCCAGATTTACTTTTACAAGTTTTCAGAGCTGAGCGACTGAAGTCAATTAGTGAACGTGTAACATACAGAAAAGTCGATGACCACGTGAGCGCTAGCAAGTCAGAGGAGGCTGCCTCGCGGGGACCTGGGATGCTGGCCCGGAGGCACCTTGCAGATAAGACGAGATTCTAAATTGCAGTTTGTTCCTGTGACTTTTTTGAAGGGATGCTAAGATTGCCTCGAGTGAGCACATGAGGATTGGAGGGAGCGAGGAGATGGCCTGGCTGCAGATCTGTGAGCCCACGGAGAAGGACAAGGGGAAATACACCTTCGAGATCTTTGACGGCAAAGATAGACACCAGCGCTCCCTGGACCTGTCTGGTCAAGGTCAGAGCACCTCTTTAGCGCCTGTTAACGTTGTGCTTAGCGACTCTCTTCGTGGTCGAGGGGAACTTGATGCTGGAAGGGAAGCAACCTGATTCCACGATTTTCATTCAGAGAAGATCACTTCCCAGCAATCACCGCGTTCACTTGGCTGTTTGTCAGTTTTCATTAAGCAGAGTCACCGGCAGAGCAGCTGAGGGGATGAAGAAAAGCCAAACACAGTGAGACGGTTAATAATGTATGAATTTTCCCTTGCAGCTTTTGACGAGGCGTTCGCAGAGTTCCAGCAACTCAAGTAAGACTTGCACGTCCGGTCACTGCTCTTCCCTGTGGGGTGCGGCTGAGTGGCCTTGCTTTGGCTGAGGGTGGGGACCTCTGGGATGCCTGAATGACCCAAGGAACGTGATGTTCCCGGGAACTGGGATAATAATGGCAATTTAAACAACTCAATATGTAGATGAAGGTGTTCTTCTGAACTAGAAGTGTTTCTATGAATTAACTTCAGAGTGGTGATAATCCTGGGTTGCTTTAGATGATTAAAACACTGAATTTCTAGAATATTTTAATCATAGCAACACATCACACAGAGCAGTTTTGTTTAAAATGTTATATATTTAAGTTCTTTTTTGCGACTTTTATTTTTTTAGAGCAGTTTCAGGTTCAGGACAAAACTGAGAGGAAGGTACACAGATGTCCCGTGCCCCCTGTCCCCCCATACAGCCTCCCTCACTGCCAGCACCTCCACCAGATGGTCCATTTGCAACATCCAGGGACCCTCCATGGACACATCACCATCACCCCGAGCCCATGGTTTACACGGGGGCTCCCTCTTGCTGCTGAACGTTCTGGGGGCTTGGACGAGTGTCTAATGTCATGTGCCTGCCATTGCAGTGTCACACAGAGCAGCTTCACTGCCCCAGAACCTCTGTGCTCCCCCCGTCCTCCCCCCTCCCCGTGGACCCCCACCCCCACCTCACTGTCTCCATGGCTTTGCCTTTTCCAGAAGGTCCCATACCACTGACTCTGAACAACACGGGTTTCAACTTTGTGGGTCTGCTTACACGTGAATCTTTTTCAGTAGTAAACCCGACAGTGCCAGGTGGTCTGCAGTCGGCTGACCCCGCGCACGCAGACCCGAGATGCTGGAGGGCCGGCTCTAAGTTAAAGGAAGGCTTTCCTAGCCACGTGCCCTTAACCCGCTCCTGCATTGTCTCGTGGCTCGATTGCTCATTTTTCTGTAGTGCTGGACAATATCCCGTTGTCCAGAGCAACTTTTTAAGGAATACCTTGGGATTTTTAAATGTGCATCTAAATTTTAGAGTGTCTTAAACTGAGGGCCATCCTTGTCCCACACCAGGCTAGTCAGTAACTATTCGTTGAATGGATGACTAAGGAAAATCGGAAACCAATGTTTTCACCAAAACCCATAAACCCTCCAGTGCAGTTGGGTGGATCTGGTGAAGACAGAGCTCTCTCCAGCCTGAGCCCGAGTGCTAACCTTTCTGTGGGCTTTAGCAGCTGGGAGACAGGGCACGCCCACCCCACGTGGGCAGGGAGGGGCATTGGGAGAAACACCAGGATCCAGGTCCCCAGGTCCCCAGGTCCCGCGGCCCGAATGGGTTTTCCTAGAAGCGCACGTGCCTCCCTCCTCCTGTGCTGCCCCCGCTCACGTGTGATGCTTTGGTAGAGAGCCTGTTCTCACCACTCTGTTTGCTCTCTCCTCTCCGCCCCCGTGGTTTTCAGGGCAGCTGCTTTTGCAGAGAAAAGTAAGTACCTGTGAGATTATAACGAGTGTAATACATCATTATTTGGGTGGGGCAGAAGGGGCAATAGTTTATTCATTTTATGCTTTAAATAATACACAGAAAACCATCTCACCTGACAGGAGACCCTCCCTCCGGCTCCCACCCACTCACCCCTGCCCCCCCTCCTTCCCTGGACCCCTGTCTGCCTCCCAGCCTCTGCCACCTGTTCTGTGGCCTTTTACACGACAGTCAGTCTGGGGCAGCCATGAGAGGGGACGCAGGGGAGGCTCAGGGAACGGTGTACTGTGCTCTCGGGTCCTGAGACAGGACCACACGGGCCACGTGGGGGTGGTCAGGGTATCAGGAGGCAGAAGATGGGAGGGAGGGGGACTGAGGCTATGGCCTTTGTTGGGGTTTCCAGGGCGGGGGGAGCCCATAAAACTGGCTGGTTTTAATGATTTTGTTGGACTTTGGGCTCCACGGGTGTTCCTGGCTGCCTTGCTCCCGGCCTGGGTAATTCTGGCAGAGGAACATCGCCTCCTGGGTGCAGGGCAGACGGGGGAGGCCTGGCCTGGCTGGGCTGTTGGCACCTGGCCTGGCCGGGCTCTTGGCGTCAAGAGGGTTTGGGATGCGAGAGCATCATGATAGACAGAGAACACACGCATCTCTGTAGCACACCGCCGTCGCAAACCCTCTCTCGATATGCCAAGACCCCGCTTCCCGACCAATTACAGCTGACGAGTTGAGCCCTAGGTGAAATCTTCGTCCTCAAAGCCTCTCAGAGCCCGAATTTCCTGTAGAGCTTTTCACAGCGCAGAATCAGTCACTCGCCCCGCCCCGAGCCCCGGCCCCCGTCGCGCTGCCGTATCCGCGGGCCCTCCGCGAGGAGCACAGCCCCTCCTGCCTGCCTTCTGTGCCCTTGGGGCTCAGCCCGGGGCCCGACCCCCCCGGGACGCCCCTGTGGACAGGTTTTCTCAGCCGAGTTGGTTTCCCGTTGCAGATCGTGGCAAGGTGATCGGTGGCTTACCTGACGTGGTGACCATCATGGAGGGCAAGGTGAGAGCAGGTGGGGATGCTCGGGGTGGGGGGCAGGGTGACCACGTCCTGCCGGGCCCAGGCTGCCCCCGATAACCTGTGTCGTCAAGGGACGGAACAGTCTAACATTCCGAGTCCAAACGCAGCGGCCTCACGACGCTGGGCACACAATACACGGCCGTGTTTGTGGCAACTGGTGTTTCCAGCCCTGGGCACCCACCTGGTGCTGACGCCAGGCCCGTTCAAGGGCATCACTGAACAAGGAGCGGGGCGGGGGGGCCACACCCACTGCTGCACGACCCCCCACTGTGTGCAAAGCTGGGAGCCACCTCGTCAAGTGGGAAATAAAAAACCACCTCTGCTCAATTTCAAGGTCGTTTTGGAATGTATGTTGGGAACCATTCATTGGAGTCTTAATTTGTCACCTGTCAGTGGCATTACTGACATCTAACTGGTAACTTCTCTGGGTGCTTGAGTGATCCCACCTTAGTGTCACGGGGACACAGTCACTTGGGGGGATTTTTTTGAGGCCAGAATACCCAAATCTTTCGCCCTTTTCTCCAGCAGCTGAAGAGCTGTGGCTGAACAGTTAAGGATCTCACAACAAAGGTGGAGAAATTAGCACCCACTTCCTTTGTCGTGGAAGGAAAGCGTGTTTCACTCAGTGTCAACAGTGCCATTTACCATTAGACAGTGTATTCTCTGGATTTGCTGAAGGAGCTGGTGAAGGGGGTTCACACGTCTGCACAGGAAGAAAATTAGAAACAGGCTGAAAATACCCACTGGAAACACAGGGCTTGACTACCTTCATGTTTTTAAATCGACTAAGCCATGGATTAAGCTTGAGGATAAACAGAAAAGAGCACCGTTGACTTTCCTCACGGGCTGCCCTGCTTCCTGCTCTAGCTGGATCCCTGCTGTCTAGCCTGGTGCTCACATACGTAAAGAGCACGTTGAGTAAACAACGTGAAGGACAGAGGAGCACCCCGCCCACTCCGAGGCCGCCTGCCTGTTCTTTCTCTAACGCTCCCTTCTCTCCCCCCACCCCGCCCTCCCCGCAGACCTTGAACCTGACCTGCACAGTGTTCGGGAACCCCGACCCCGAGGTGGTCTGGTACAAGAATGACAAGGACATCGAGCTCAGTGAGCACTTCCAGGTCAAGGTGGAGCAGGCCAAGTACGTCAGCATGACCATCAAGGGCGTGACCTCCGAGGACTCGGGCCGGTACAGCATGAGCGTCAAGAACAAGTACGGTGGTGAGAAGATCGACATCACGGTCAGCGTGTACAAGCACGGGGAGCCACTCCCGGACGTGGCGCCGCCCCAGCAGGCCCGGCCCAAGCTCATCCCTGCGTCCGCGACCTCGCCCACCCACTGAGGCCACTGGGCCGGTGGCCACCCGCGGGGCCAGGCAGGCCGTCCCGCCCTGGGCTTTTAGTCTTGGCATTTGGGTGTTAGTAGTTTCTGGCCTTCTCAGGGGAAGTGAGTGATTCCCAGGAGGCTGTACCGCTTGACTGGCAGCTTGAGGTGAGCTGACGTCTTCACGGACGTTGGCGTGGGGGTTCTGTCCTCACTGTGGTCCTGTTTTCTGATCTGGGGGCTCCAAAAGGCTGGTTGGAGAGCCCATGGGTGGGTGCGCCTCCTTCTTCTCTGTTTTCTCTTGCTTCAGACGAATAAAACTTTAAAAGGCAACTTCGAGTGTCTCTCCCGCGCCGACGTGCACCGGCATGGGGCTGCTCTCCCCTGGTTTGTTCCCTGACGGCTTGCGTGTGACTTCAGGGCTGCATCGAGCTGGCAGGGAGCCACCAGCCAGGAGCCCGGGGTGCCCCAGCCCCGCACAGCTCCCCAGGGGCCCCCATCAGGGCCTGGGGAGGAGGTTCCTGGACTGGCCCAGAGAGGTGTCCACACACCCCAGCTTCTAGGAAGGTGATGGCTTGTGTGGGCTCAGGAAACCTCTGTTGGGGAAAACAAAGAGTGGACGGTGTGTCACGTTTTGTATTAAGGACATTGCTCTCTAACAGGAAAAGCTTTGACAGCCCGGAATGTTTCCTCTCCCTGTCATTAAGGCCGATCCGAACTCTATGATACTGGGTTCTGTTTTCCTCAGGTGATAAAAGATGTCCTGAAATTTAAATACCAGCCGGCTGAGCAGGCTCCAGGAGTAGCATTTCTAAAATCCCTCTTGCCTCCTCTGTCGCACCCGTGATCTTGCTGCTGGACTGACGCTGGCCTGGTCCTGTCACAGGGGTCAGCTGATAGCCCACCAGCTGTGAGGTTTCTTCTCTTTAAACCATTTGGAAATTTCCAGACTCTGACCAAGACGCCGTGATGCTGCCCTCTGCTCCGTCAAACCTGAGGCGGCTTCCTCCCGATTCGAGCCTCGGACTCAGAGATGCAGGGACATCTCCCGGGCTCCCGCCAGCTCTACAGACCCGGCCCCGGGAGCCTGCCCTCAGAGACAGGACCCTCAAGAAGACGGGGCCCAGTCTCCCAGTCTCTGTGGAGGTCAGCGTCACTCCAAGGAGCCACTGGGGGCGACCACAGCCCCGTCATAGTGGCCAGCCTGCCCTCCTGGCCTCCAAGGGTGTTCGGGCTGAATCTGACCGCTAGTTACTCTTTGGAAGTAAGGCTTCCACGTCTTCCCCCTCCCGCCTCCATCCCCCCACTCACCACGTCCCTATTGACTCTCCCAGCCCCTCTGCACACAGAGCACCCAGACGCTGGAGCTGGGACGATCAGACCTGGCTCCGCCTTCCATGCCGTGGGCGCCAGGGGCACTCACTGACTCGGGGCCTCAGCCCTCAGCTGCAAAATGTGGGTGATGGCAGGACCAGCCCCCAGGCTCCAGCTGACAGCTTGGTGGTCACGTGATGAGCCCAGGTCAGGAGCCTGGGGTGGCACCTGGGCACAGCAGGAGCCACACACACGTCCGCTGTGATCATAACCATCCCGACTAGGGCTCAGAGTTCACACTGATGTTTAACATTTAACTCAGGTTACTTCTCTCTTGATTTTTTCCCTCTTTTTCCTCAGCCACACCTTGCTGCTTTTTCTCCAGCATCTTCTCAGGGATTTATTGACAACTTGAGGCCGTTCTTCCCTGTGGATCTTCGAGGAAGTTTCCCAGGGAGTCAGGCCCCTCTGACCTTCACGATCGTTGTGTAGAGGCAAGGGTACACTGGTGGGTGTTTCTGTCCCTCATCCTGGTCCCGAAACACTCACTTTTAAAACAAGGCTGTGGGAAGGGTGACCTTGTGCCTCGTTCCTTCAAAATGGTGGCTTTGCCACCCTAGCAGTAGAAAAGGGAATTTTGGAGGCATTCGTGGCAATAATTTTAATTAGAGGAGTCAAGTGTCCCTCTCCACGCATGCTCAAAGCAAAGTGCAGGCGATATTTACGGCCCTGGTATAGAGCAGTGACCCACGCCCAGATCGCACTTTTCTACGCTTGGGACTGCACACACCACACCCACACACAGCAGAGGTCGGCCTTGAACCCCTGGCCTGGTGACCCGTGTCTCTCCAGGCAGCAGCAGCTGGTGCCACAGGTACTCATAGACGCTTTGGCCTCTCTGATCATAGCCTGGAGACACAGCACCACCACCTGCAGGCAGGTGGACCGGATGATGGCCCGTCACTCCAAAGACAGGCAGGCTGAACAGATGGCAGCTTCAGGGCTTTAATAAAACCCTTTGCCTCCCTTGAATCACCCTGGATGTGCACCTTGTTCACTGGAAAAAGAACTCAGTATAAACAGCCAAGATCTGGAAGCAACCAATGTCCATCGACAGAAGAATGGATAGTGAAGATGAAAATAGATAGACAGATACAGACACAACGGAATACTACTCAGCCACAAAAAGAACGAAGTAATGCCATTTGCAGAACATGGATGGAATTGAAGATCCTCATACTAAGTAAAGTAAGTCAGACAGAAAGACAAATATCACATGACATCACTTCTGTGTGAAATCTAAAAAAAGGACACAAGTGAACTTATTTACAAAACAAATAGAGTCACAGACATAGAAAACAAACTTATGGTTACCAGGGGGGAAAGGGCGGGGAGGGATAAATGGGGAGTTGGGGATTAACAGATGCACACTGTTATATATAAACTAGGTAAACAGCAAGGTCCTGCTGTAGAGCACAGGGAACTATATTCAGTATCTTGTAATAACCTGTAGTGAAAAGGAATATGAAAATGAATATATATACGTACAAGTGAATCACTCTGCTGTACACCAGAAACTAACATGACATTGTAAAGCAACTATACTTCAGTTAAAAAAAAAGGACTCAGTATAACAGCCTTTCCGAGGCCAGCTTCTCAGTGGCTTTGGGTTTTAAGTTCAAATGAGCCTTGGCGGCTGAGTTTCCTGTGGCTCCTGCTTGAAGTGAAGTTACGTGATAATCATGCTCTTAGATATATTAATTCTCAGCCTTGAGAAAAAACTCTTCATGCTAAATTAGTGAATGTGGAGAAGGTCCCCCAAACTGGCTTCCTGTGCTCAGGGCCCCGGGAAACCGCTAGATGGCACTCGGAGAACAGGTCCTGAGCCTCTGCCTGCCTGGCCAAACCGGATCTGTCCTTTGTGATGCAAACACATCACCTAGTGAATGGAGGATTATTAAAGGCATTGCACTTACCCCAGTGACAAGGACAGGTCCGGCAAAGTACTGTTTCCAGGAAATAGCAGGTCATTTTGAAGGCAATAATATAGCCTCTTAATCTTCACATGATACACATTAGAAGGAGTAAAACACACCTTGTGAGATATTACCAGGCTCTTATTGCATCAGTGAAGTCATAAAAATATGTGATCTATCTATATATTAAGCTTGGGGTATGAATTTTAAATATTCCATGTTTCACAGAGGCATGTCAAAGCCGGCAGCCTCCCTCATTTTTCAGAGCAGTAAATTACAGCTTTGGAATCTTTCACACGAAGCGCATGATTCTGCAGAGCCATCAGGTGGGGGCGGAGCAACGGAACTGGAGGAGTCGTTGGGTCATCGGGGCGCTGTGCTCACCCAGGTCTGTCCTTGACCGTTTTTTCAGTGGTGGTCCTGGTCCTCGATTTTTCAAGACTTTCTCATGGGGGATACTGGGGAGAGGAAGCTGCCGGGAGGCATTAGGACCTCCCAGCACCGTCTGTTTTCTAGTGAACAGACATGGTTAACTCTGTGGTCTCTACTTTTTTTTTAAAATTTTAATTGCCCCATCGATGTACAGTGAAATAATAAATGGGACAAAGGATTACATATAACCATCTCTTTTATCTCCAGCTTAAAGTGAATGAGAAACCGTTTAAACATCATTTTATCTATAGAATTATGATGATATTTTTAAACAAAAGGGGCATATAAAAGACGTACATTAAAGGGGTACATTAAGGATGAAAATGAAGGCAACCAGTCAATTCAGCCCACGGCGCCCAAAGCAGCATCTTCCAATTCGTCTTGATCACTCCCCACTCCAACTCCCACTCGCCAGCCACATTAATTTATCTGCTTTTATTTTGTTAAGGATGTTAGTCTGTTTCTTTCATTACTTTTAATGTATTGCTGTAAAAACGTGGTTGACACAGAGCACGGGGGAGGAGCCCAGATTCTGTCCTGGCTCTACACAGACTAGCTACACGCTTCTGGGCTTCGGTTTCCTCCTCTGTAAAAGTGGGACCAGCAGTCCTCAAGCCGAGCTCCACTCAGGGGCCACAGGACCCACCGCGTCACCAGTGCCCTGGCACCCCCCCGACCCGCCATCAGGGGCGCTCAGCTCTGGTCCTGTCTATGGGACTTCCCGAAAGACTCCTTGTCAACGGGTTCTCGGGATTTTTCATGTCTAGTGAGGATCAGGCAGACAAAGGGTTTTCTAAGTACTGCCAAGACCTGCATTTTAGGATGTCAGCCCTCTGCCTGTCGCTTGGTGAGGGGTCAGTCCGAGAGCCCAGCTGCCAACTTGCGGGTGCGCGGAGCGGGCACAGATGGGCGGGCACGGCGCACCTGCGGTGCCGGAGGCGGGGCGGAGCCTGGGCTCCCGCAGGGCTGTTCTCTGGCTGCGGGGACCATAAGCCCCTGCTAGGCTCGTGTGCCCAGCGTGCCCGTGCCTTTGGCTTTGTTCCCATTGCCTAACTGAACCACCGAGAACGTTTAAAACACGTCACCTTCCGGGAAAGGGCTGCTGACCCGGAGCTCACCAGGTGAGAAATGGAGCAGCAGGTCCCCTTTGCGCCCACCCGCCACCTGCAGGCTGGCTCTGAAGGGGGGGAGCACGCCTGAGGGTCAGCAGGGCGTCCGTTGCCCAGGCAGAGCCTCAGGGCCCCGGGGACAGCCAAGGGGCTGGAAGGGGCGTGGAATCCAGGGACGCATCTGGGCACCCAGGCCGCAGCAGCTCCGC